TAATAGCCTTAGCTGGTGGTAAAACACGATTGGTAAACTTCACATTAATAACCTTAGCTGGTGGTAAAACACGATTGGTAAAACTTGATGTTAATAACCTTAGCTAACGGTGAAACACGATTGGTAAACATCACATTAATAGCCTTAGCTGGTGGTAAAACACGATTGGTAAACTTCACATTAATAACCTTAGCTGGTGGTAAAACACGATTGGTAAAACTTGATGTTAATAACCTTAGCTGGTGGTAAAACACGATTGGTAAAACTTGATGTTAATAACCTTAGCTGCTGGTAAAACACGATTGGTAAAACTTCGTGTTAATAGTTTTAGTGGATGGTAAAACACGGTGGATAAAACTTCACGTTAATAACCTTAGCTGGTGGTAAAACACGAGTGTTAAAACTTGATGTTAATAACCTTAGCTGGTGGTAAAACATGATTGGTAAACTTCACACTAATAACCTTAGCTGGTGGTAAAACACGATTGGTAAACTTCACATTAATAACCTTAGTTGCTGGTAAAATACGATGGGTAAAACTTCATGTTAATACTTTTAGTGGATGGTAAAACACGGTGGATAAAACTTCACGTTAATAACCTTAGCTGCTGGTAAAACACGACTTTAAAACTTGATGTTAATAACCCTAGCTGGTGGTAAAACACGATTGGTAAACTTCACATTAATAACCTTAGCTGGTGGTAAAACACGATTGGTAAAACTTGATGTTAATAACCTTAGCTGGTGGTAAAACACGACTTTAAAACTTGATGTTAATAACCTTAGCTGGTGGTAAAACACGATTGGTAAACTTCATAACCTTAGCTGATGGTAAAACATGATTGGTAAACTTCATAACCTTAGCTGACGGTAAAACACGATTTGTAAAACTTGATGTTAATAACCTTAGCTGATAGTAATACATGATTCGTAAACTTCACATTAATAACCTTAGCTGGTGGTAAAACATGATTGGTAAAACTTGATGTTGATAACCTTAGCTGGTGGTAAAACACGATTGGTAAACTTCATAACCTTAGCTGATGGTAAAACATGACTGGTAAACTTCATAACCTTAGCTGATGGTAAAACATGATTGGTAAACTTCATAACCTTAACTGGTGGTAAAACACGATTGGTAAAACTTGATGTTAATAACCTTAGCTGATGGTAAAACACGATTGGTAAAACTTGATGTTAATAACCTTAGCTGTTGGTAAAACACGATTGGTAAAACTTGATGTTAATAACCTTACCTGTTGGTAAAACACGATTGGTAAACTTCACATTAATAGCCTTAGCTGGTGGTAAAACACGATTGGTAAACTTCACATTAATAACCTTAGCTGGTGGTAAAACACGATTGGTAAACTTCACATTAATAACCTTAGCTGGTGGTAAAACACGATTGTTAAAACTTGATGTTAATAACCTTAGCTGGTGGTAAAAC